GTGAGCCTGGGTGTGAGCCTGTGAGTGAGTGTGTGAGTGAGCCTGTGTGTGAGCCTGTGAGTGAGCCTGTGTGTGAGCCTGTGAGTGAGCCTGTGTGTGAGTGTGTGTGTGAGCCTCTGTGTGAGCCTGTGAGTGAGCCTGTGAGTGTGCCTGGGTGTGAGCCTGTGTGTGAGCCTGTGAGTGAGCGTGTTTGTGCTGTCAGCAAACTGACCGAGTGTTACTCATTTTCCTCTTCAGTGAGATCAATCCCACACACCCCAATCTTCAACTCAAAACAAACCAAACCAGGGGGGAAAAGAAAAGAAATCTAACGAGGAGGAAAGAAAGCAAAGATTTATTTCCTGGGCCCCTCTCCCCTCACTGAGATTTCAATAAACTTGCTTTAGAAATTCCTGGGGTGCCTCCTAGGATTTTAAAGAATTTTATTTTCCTCCATATTTTTTTATTGATTTATTGTGAGATTTTTTCCCCCCTAAACATGAAAAGAGGACTTTCCCCTCATGTCTGTCTGTATGATCACCCCCACATGAAGGACACCTGAGATCCGTTTCCCTCTCAGGGTCAACTTGGTTTAAATCCAAATGGCTCCTGGCCTGCCTTTCTTACCCCGGGCCTGGACAGTGCTCGGGCCTGAGAGATCTCAAACAGCAACTGCCCAGAGCCTGTGTCCTCTGCCACCTGCCTACGGCCCTGTGTGCGAGCCCCCTTGCCTGGGTGAGTGTGGGGGGGTTGGTGTGCACTGGCTGGCCATTTCTTGGGAGACACATAAGCTTTCGAGAGAGAGGGTTCGCTGTCACCCACAACTCTGTTTATCTCTTGGGGGTCCACAGCTGCAAGAACTGGACAGGACCGTGGGTTCTAGTTCAGGGTCTTCCTTTCTGTTTGTTCCTAAACTAGAACCCCCACACACCCCAGGAAGCTGAGGTGAAGTACCACCATGATCTGTCCAGCAAAGTCCACGTGTTGGAAGTGTGATCCCCAAAGTCGTGTGCTGAGAGCATTTGGAGG